AGAGCCAGAACTGGGTAGGGTTGTCAGATCTAGGAGATAAGAATACAAGGTGTTCAGTTAAATTTGGATTTCAGTTAACAACAACTAATTTTGTAGTATGAGTCTGTCCCATGCGATATTGGTTGTTTATTCATTATTTATCTGAAATTCAAATTCAGCTCAGCATTCTGTATTTTATCTGGCAACCCTATCTCAGGATTCCACCCCCCCAGGGTCCTTCCCACTCCCCAAAACTTCATAAAACAAAAGTATCAACTATCTCATAATTTCTTTGTAGGAAATGTTGGTCCTGTTTCCATGAATTGCAAGATAGGAAGACCATGGCTTAGTGAGTTTTGTGGTTTTGATGAGACACTAAGCCTTTCTGAAGTTGGGAAAACCCCACAAAGTAATATTTATGAGGGCGACATGGTTCATTTACAAACAAATCCACCAAAAAAAAAAAAAAATTAAACTATATTTAAAACCCCTCTGTGTCTGGTAAACTTAACTCTCTCAGGGAGTCTCACAGTTGCCCAGACTCTCAAGCTAACATTCATCTGGCCCATCTCTTTATTGCTATGCAGGTTTCTCCCCAAACAAATAGTTAAGCATCCCCTGAACAGGAATCACAATCCTTGTTGAGGGGTTGGGTAGGGGGCCATCTAGGCCCAAGCTGGCAGAGAAGATAAGATTTGGCAAAGCAGAGAAACATGGAAAGACGCAGAGCTGAGACTGTGGAGGGTTGGCCCAGGAGAGCGTCTCTGCAGATGAGTAAACAGAGCCACGGAAAAATAGATCTCTTACTGGTAAAGAGACTGGTGCTTCCAGAGCTGACTCATTAGTGATGTTAAAAAGGAGGCAGCCGACCCAAAATGGAGTCATTTATGCTAAACCCCACTGCAGCAAAACAAGACTTAATACCTAACCTAATTGCAGTTTGAACTCTCCAGGAATGTAACCTTTAACCAGTCAACGTGGAGTTACCTGGTCAGCAGGACTGAGATAACCAGCTGATAGACCCTTTCCATTCCCCCCTTAGGAAGGCCACCGTGCCTGAAACAATTCGTCCTTTGCTGATAATTGCCTTTTGGGGGCCCCTTTCCACATTTTTTTTTTTAAAGATTTTATTTATTTATTTGAGAGAGAGAGAATGAGAGACAGAGAGCACGAGAGGGAAGAGGGCAGAGGGAGAAGCAGACCCCCTGCCGAGCAGGGAGCCAAATGCGGGACTCGATCCCGGGACTCCAGGATCATGACCTGAGCCGAAGGCAGTCGCTTAACCAACTGAGCCACCCAGGCGCCCGCCCCTTTCCACATTGAAAAGCCTTTCCTTTTCTCCAGCTTGGTGGAGCTCCTTTATATTTGCTAGATGGGACGCTGGCCGATTCGTGAATAATAAAGCCAATTTGATCTTCAAATTTACTCAGTTGAATTTTGTTTTTTAACAGCGAGGAAAAAAAAAAGAATGTATTTTTCTGGCAATACCTGTGACTTTGTAAACAGAGACACGAGTGAGAGAAACGCCATGGTGATAAAAGTACCTTTCTCTTTACTGCCTGATGCAGCACCACTGATAAAAGCCGGGGTTTACACACAAGCCCTAAGGATCGCCAGGCTTTAAAAAAAATATGCTCCCTGTTTGCACAGCCTTTTCACCTACTCTATCTTGGGTAAACCACAGCCACACTCTTGGCTGGAAGTAGGAGGCAGGACAAGTGTTTTGTTATTGGCAGCCCCTTCCCCCACACCCATTTTTTTTAATAAAGGAAGCTGTTGAGATTTAAACACATCAAGGAGCAGTTCAAGGTCACACCCTTATCGAGGTGGCAGAGCTAAAAAATTATTCGTTGTTAACTGAGATTCAAGTTTAACTGGGTGTCCTGTATTTTTATTGACCAAATCTGACTTGAGCAAGGAATTCTTCCCTGAGCAAGAGGGTCTGCAGAGTTGCAGCTGAGCTAGGTGGGGGACCATGCCATGAATGTGACCTCTGAGTCCACAGGCTGAACATTCAATAGGGTGACACAGACTTTGAACAAGTGCACGGGGTTCTGTTCATTGCACAGAGGCCCCACTTGATTGAGCTCACGCAAAGGTCAATTTAACATAAGCAGTTGGGTTTGTGAAATCCTAAGGCAGGAAACACAATATTGCCAAGCTCCTGGGAATTTTACAGCTGACAGGAAATGAGGTCTTTCGGTGGCTTCGTGATCTTTCATTTATGTAGCTCTCTTTGCTGGTCCTCCTGTCCTTATTGTGTTTTCCTCCTTAGACTGACTTCCTCAGCTTACTCCTTATCTTGTCTGGGACCTTCAAAGGGATGCCCCAACTCTGTGTCTTCAGGACATTTCTTCCTGCCCTGCCCTGCCCTAGAGAAACAAACATTTTGGCGCAGAGATTAAGGGCACAGACTCTTGAGACAGATTGCTGGAGTTTGACTCCTGATTCACCACTTAACTTCTCTGGTTCCAGTTTCCTCATCTCGAAAATAGGGGCCTCAACCTTATAGGATATTGTGAGAAGTAAGATAATGTCCTTAAATACCCAGCGTAGTGATGACATATAGTACATGCTCAATAAATACAGCTAGGTTGTTATTATAGCAACTCTGGTATTTATAGCTCCTGGCTGAGTATTTCCAAGTCCCAGTTTGAAATTCTCAGTGGAAAGAGCCATTAGCTGAGCTCGATTTGTCTCCTGAGACCATAGGTAAATAGGCTTTCTTTTTTTTTAAGATTTTATTTATTTGATGCAAGATATGTTAAGAAAAAAAAAAGAAGAAGAAGAAAGTAGCGGGAGGGGAGGAATGAAGCGGGGGAAATCGGAGGGGTGGA